GCAATACTGAAACTCAAATGTTTTCGCAAGATCTGCAAGAAATACAATTTAAAAATAGTTCGTATTACCTGAATCGTACTACTATGAGAAATTTTGTCTATTTATGCTTAACCCAAAACAATAATTTAATATCATATATAAATTTTCGAACTGTTACAAGTATAGTATCAGTACCTATAGAATGTTAGAGCTACAAAAATACAAGTTTCATGAGCATTGTTTTTAATGACAGCGTCTTTGATAACCAACCACCTTTGTTTTTGTTGTCGTTGGCCATTACGCTAAGTGGTGTGATTGTTCTTTTTCTCCAGTGGTGCCATCTATGGCCAAGATTTCTACTTCTGCCACAGCCGTTTATAAGGTGAACTCATTCATACATCCTTCCATTCATTCATCCAAAGATCATAATTTTGATCTGAACCAGAGAACGATCAATCTCCAATTCAGTACCCTAAGAGATCTAATTTGTTATGGGAACATGGAGGGCTTTGTGACCCGAAAGATTTACCCATTTGTAGCAATGGGCAACAATCCAAATGGGAAGGCAAGTACTCATTTGGATTAGGACCTTTTTCTACACATTTATGGAGGAATAACTCTTTTCTTTCATCAAAAAACTGGCTTTACTCGAAAATGGGTTGATGCGCTAAAAGTCTTTTATGTCTGTTGAAGGTAACATTTCTCCGAAGAATTCCTCAGACTGACAATCATTAAACACTTTTTCGTAATTTTCTGTCTGAGGATGCAACACAACTGGCGAGGCTTTTTATCGGTTCAAATTCTGCGACTAAATAACATAGGGTGATCTTGAATGAATGGTAATAGCTGTACCTATAGAATGTTAGGCCTGTAAAGTACAACGGCCTGTCGTTGTACTTTACAGGCCGTGCAAAGTTAAGCGCAGATGGCGCTGGTGGTTAAAATTCGGCGTAAGACTTCCGGGTTACTAATTCCGACTAAATTTTACGCCTACGCTTGAAAAAACGCTCTATCCAATATTATTATACCTGTAGTGCTTTCAATATAACGCGTTTTTTTTTCAATCTTACTTTCAACGAAAGATACGAATTCGGAAGACTCCGCAAACTTGCTATAATGCTACCCAAAATATAACAAACGGCGCTATTTTACACAAATAAGGGATAACACTCAGAGCATGGCTAATCTAACACTTTATTTATGACTGTGATATTAATTTTGTTAAAGTTGTTTTAGGGTCACGATCTGTTAAAATTTATGAAATGAAGAAAACTCTTATGAATGATAAAAATTACGCGTAAATTTGAACACAAACCGCAATAGTGAAACTTCCTAGAATATCAAGCCTGTTCACACATCGTCTCGTAAGCGTAACAAAAGCGGAGGGATACACCGGAAGTTTTCTGAACTTCTTCCGGTTTTAGAAACTTGTTATTGTTCACGTTCAGTCAACCATCTATAAGGCCTGATTAGACTATCCAATTTCTTGGACAAACATTGATTGATATCGATAAAAACTTGTTTTGCTTTGAGCTTAGATCGTGTAAACAATCATCCAAGTACTTGGTCCAAGTTCTTGGACGATAGTAGAGCATGTTCTACTTTCCATCCAAGTTCTTCTTCCCTCAACCAATCAGCTTCCTAAGTTTTGTGACGTCAACAAGCAGACATCAGATTGTGTCATTTTCTGTGTGTTTTCATATATTTTAGTGAAAATAAGTTAATCTGTTATGGTCTATTTGTGTTATTATGATTTTATTTGAATTTATTCAGTAATTTTAAAGTAATGTAAGTAGGATTTTATAATGTTGAATATGAACAATGCGCATGCGCAAGTTTTTCTTCTGACCAATCAGTGACATTCAAGAACTTGGATAGTGTCGACGAATCATCCAATTTCTTGGACAAAGAAATTCTACCAATTTCTAGGATTCAAGAACTTGGACCGTGTAAACAGGCCTATACATGGCAAACTCACTATAATAGTGTTAGTAAAGTAGTGTATCTTTTTTTGAGACCTAATTTGCTATTTTTTTAGCTTCTAATTCCTAAAAGGCCGAGCTTCTGTAATCTCGAAATTGCTAACATGCAAAGTAAAATTTTAGATCTTCATCTCAAAATTTTACCATAATTGCCCATCCTAATCCATATGATGGTATTCATAACCAACATTTCCATCATTAAGATTTTAATTTCTGATAGGCACAACCATCACATAACAGGACATGCATTTTGTCAGGATGGTTCTCATATTAACAACAGCTTGTGACAACAGTCTTGTGCCACATTGTTTCTTCTGGTGGGTAGTTTCAACTGCAATGTGCCATGACATGGATCCAGCACTATTCGCCTTTAACAAATGAGTCCTTTTCTGCCAATTTACATTCTGAGTTGTGATCGTTACTTAAATTCACAATCAATAGTATGTGATCTATTGTGTAAAAAAAAAAGGGCGTACATTGTTTTCTGAGTAAGGGCGTCAATGACAACTGCCAGTTACTTGAGATAAGCTTGATTTTCTTTACTCCCTAAGTCGAGTCATTCGTTTCTAAGACTATCGATTCGAGCGTTTGTAAAAATAAATTAAAAAAAATGCGAATTGTAAAGAAATGGATAGTAGTACTTTACGAGTATAAATATATTCTCACAACTCTCTTATTAAAATGCTTTTTATTTTATTTTTAATAAAAGTCGTTGAACAGCCAACCCGATTTATGGGTTTACGACTACTAATGTTCAACTCCGCAGCCTTGTCATTTTGAACCCAATCCAGACGACAAAGGAACTTCTAGATCAAGTATTGGAAGAAATTTGCCTTCGTGGAGGACTGTTGGATGGAACTAATCCGCATTTGCGTTACATAGAGAGGAAACCACCTATGGTTAGTGAAACCTCTTACGGCGATACAGCCTTTGCAACCCACGATTTGAGATGTTGTGGCGTTTAACGGAGTCCATCCAGAAAGAAAGAGCACGTGACCAATGGGTGACCAGTAATCGTAATAAGACGATCACAATTTCTTTTCTTTTTTTTTTTTTTTAACGAAATGATAGTTAACCACACATTCTATTCTACAATATTATGAAAATTGTTTTTCATAGCTCTATTTTTTTAAATGTTTGTATGAGCTTGAAAAAATTCATTTTTTAAGAAAAACTTTCTAATTTCTTTCGCCTGTATAAACTGTAACGATCTTTGCAAATTCCAGCAAGATGTCAGATGAACCCAGTTATTAAGACGATATATATATTTTTTAATGTGCGCCTTATTTATTATTTTTTTTTTTAAAGAAAATTATTTTCGAAAAATCATTCAAAACTTGGGGCATCAATCACCTTCTTCCTGATTAGATTACCAACCCATAAACAGATTGCTACATCAAAATTAAATGCTCAAAGGGATACCTGCAAGTGACGTAGTGTTGGTGTCTCGATCCTGATTAGTTGTGACATTTGTTTACGTTAGCAACTGTCCTTTCCATTTTATTTCGAGTAAGTCAAGTATCAATTCTCTTAAGTGACCCATTCTAAATTCTTTCACAAAGATTCTTTCTCAAAAATTTCATTTCCTTCACTATATATTTACTCAGAGACTTTTAACACAAAAACAGGCATGAAGCCACGGGAAATATAAACAAACTAATTATGCATGGAAGTTGCCATTTACACAAAACAAAAATCTATCACGGTTACAATAAAATATAAACAAATAAAAAATCTAAGTTACGTAAAAGAAGTGGACGAGAAAGAATTATATTTCAACTAATTCGATGAGTGATACGGCATTGTATTTAATTAACGTATCATTAATTAGCATTCTAACTTATGCACTGTGGGCCAGAAGACCATGCTCTTTGGCCCAAAATCAGAAATTAAATTTTCAACTAAAATATATGTAGGCAGTTTTATTATAGCCCAAATTAAGTATTCATAATCATTCCAAACATTATAATTTACTTTTTGGACCGACGAGAGTACAATGTAATGAAAAATATGTTAAAAAATTTTTTCTTAAATGTAACTTTTAAATTTTTATTTCAGAAATATATATAGGAATTTCACCTGACTGTTACATTTTTATCGGAGTTTAAATTTGTTGGATTAGTTAATACTCTTGACAAACTTATAGTTTATATCTTATCAATTGACATTTTACAATGTTTGAATGACTTTCGAAACTTAGTTCCAAAATGTTCCACGAGGTAATTAGCTATACTTTTTTTTTGTTGTCTTCTTTGATGTTTCTTCGTTCGAAAAAACCTGCCCCATTTTGCCCGTATTGCAAAGGTGGACTAAATATACCGAAAAACAAAAATTATGTTTTTTTTCTCCATGTTTTCGCATTATTTTGTAATTTGCGTTATTTGGTAATATTACTTCCGAAATATAATTTGCTTTTCATTTTTAATATAAAATTACGAAAATTATTATATTTTCATTGCTATATTTAATTATTTAAACGTACTATATTATTTTTTTAATTTTTGCTCACCATATTTCAGCCGCCATTTTGTTTGTTTTTTGTTGATATTTTTAGTGTATTTCAAAATTTCAACTATGAATTAAATTTACCTGCACATAGAAACCCTCAAATTTTGAAACAAATTTTATCGAAATACTAATTTTGGCCATGAAACATTAGATGCTGGCCCATTGTGTTATGTAGAGAAGCTTAGATCAACTTCTATACGCCATTTTGCTGATAAAGATTCGCTAGAGCGGACGTCATAGGTCACGTGTGTGGGTATGGAGGGTCTTCTTCTTATTGAAGAGTAAGTACCCATTTGTCCTTGTAACATAATAATAGGAATTTTTTAACATAAAACCCTGTTCGTAATCTGTCAATTATTGTTGCAAATTCATGCGTTACTGAAAAACTGAATTTCCATGAGTTTTTATTTTATTTTTTTTAATTTTTTTTTATAGAAAAATATGAAATACGAGGAAGACTAAAGACATATTTGTAAACTGTACTAAAAAGTTGAATAAGCTACGACTCAAAAAATAAGTATCCAATAATAATAATATTTACAATATACATTTTATTTATATTACAATAACTTTTATGCGTCAAGAATGCATAAAATTTAATCTACATAGGATGTAAAATTGAACCATTGTATGAATATTAGAAACAGTACTCCATTTCTGTCTCTCCTTACTTTATAAAGACGATTGGAAGCTAGTTTACAAAACGAATCGAAATGGGCAAAATTTGTCATTAAAATTCATGCCAAAAATTTTTTTTTCAGTCAAATTACTGCATAATAACAATTCAAATGATTGACTGAAGAAAAAAAATCCAACTCTAGTTGCGTTGTTCGCAAAAAAACATACAAATCAATTAACTGATTCAAACCACGAATTAAAAAAGCAGATTTCGTTTAAAGTAAAGTGAATCAACCGATTTAAATCAAAAGACTCGCCGAATTATATCAGAGTCAAAATAGATCATTAGAATTTACACGAATCAACAGATTCGAATGAACTGGTTGGAATAAAAACTAATCACCAGTGTTAAGATGAATATTATTCGAATCAATGAATATTGTATTCTCAAATGATTCAGTTGATTCTAATTAATGTTTGCGGATTACGTCAAAATCAACAGCGCTGATTAGATTTGACAGATTTTACTGATTATTTCGAATGAAACTAAACTATTCAAATCATCAGATTCAGCTAATTTAGCTTAAATCAATGGATGGTTGATATTGTAAAGCTAAGCACAGATGACGCTAGGAGTTAAAATCCGTCGTAAGATTTCAGTGAGACTACTTTCGATTGATCTTTAAGCCATCCAATATAGTTATACTTTTAATGTTTATCGTATAACACGCTCTTTCAATTTCATTTTCAACGAATCAATAAAATTCGCAAGACTCTGCGAGCGTGCTACGAGGCATTGATGTTACTTCAAAAAGCACAAACAGTGATATTTTACACAAACATAGCCAAATAACACTCAAAACATGGCACTCCTTAAACTTTATTTACATCGTGATATCAATTTTCTTAAGTTTGTTTTAGGCTCTCGACTTGTTAGAATTTGTAAAATTTCCAGGAAACTCTTATGAATGGCAAAATTCCCCGTAAATTAGAACAAAAATCACGATAATAAAACTTCCTAGAATATTAAGCCTGTTCTCACATCGCCTCGTAAGCGGAGGGATACACCGGAAGTTTTCTAAGTTTCTTCCGGTCTTATAGGAAGCTTCTCATTGTTTACATTCAGTCAACCATCCATAGATTCAAGTTCGTTTAAGTTTTTTTCGATTCTATGCCAAAGTGGGTCTTCGGATTTGTTTCAGTTTGACTCTACTGGTTCATTCGAATCAATCACTGATTCCATGAAATGGCGATTCCAGAGCATCGGAAAGGGAGATCTTCATCTGGCCAGAGTTTTCTCTAGTTGTTGGTGTTGACTTCTAATGGCCATTCTATTGACATGCACGGGTATAGGAACGACAATTTTAGGTCCATTGTTACCACTGGCAGATCCTATTCTGCCAGATGCGAGGCCAGCTTTGACTCTTTTCCATTTGGCACGGCGGTTTTGAAACCATATTTTGACTTGAACCTGAAACATTCATTTGGAATAACTAAAAAGATATTACGAACAAAAAAATTTAAACGAAGCAATCTGATTAATTTTTACCAAAATGTCATTTCTGGCGACTTAAGCCTTATTCTAGAAGTTAACTTATTCTAAAAGTTAACTTTTATTCTAAAAAGCTAACTTGTTAGAATAATGTGTTTTAACTTAATAAAAAACTATCATTTAGCAAAAGATATATCATAAAGTATCACAAATACTTGGTGAAAATTTTATGTTTATACCGTGAATTATTTCCAGAATGAAGTTGATAAAAAAATTGTTTCTGTACTTGCACTTAAAAAAAAAAAAGCTATTTATCATTTAACAAAAGATATATCATAAAATATCGCAAATACTTGAGGAAAATTTTATCTTTATACCCGAAATATTTCCAAAATCATGTTGATAAAAAAAATGTTTTTATCGTAAATTATTTTATTAAAAATTGTTTGTCCGGGGTGATTCCAAATATTCAAAATTCGTCAAACCAGAAAATGGTGGAAGAATCATAATGTAAACGTCTAGTTAACGGGATTTGGAAAAAGTTAAGTTTAGAAAGTTAAAAAATCGGCAGATTGAGTTTTTGATTCGAGGTAGTCCGCGAATCAAAAACTTGAGAATGTGAGATATGCGGAATTCTGCGATGTTCGCGGAAAAATCACATGCCGTGCTTCCAGTTTTTAGACCAACTCTGAGTTGAAATAAGGAAAGAAAAAGTGTTTGAATATCGGAACATTTTGACCTAAGAATCGTATTTTCGGAAAAAGGCTAAGAAATCTAAATAAATACAATTTAATCGGAACAGTTGGCAGCTATGCTGTTAGATCTAAAAGATTTTTACCTCACTGAGTTTGAGAGTATGGGCTATCTGAGATCGTTCTGTGAGAGAGAGATATTTCTTGGCGTGGAACTCTTTTTCCAGTTCAAGAAGCTGCTCACTGGTGAAGGCCGTCCTCCTTCGCCTACCTTTTCGATCATCCGAGCTTCCTCTTTTTACATCTTCTTCGATGGAGTGATCACTCATATCATCGTCCAGTGTGGTCACATCGGGGCTGGAATCTCTGGAGATGCTCAGCTGTTCCGTTGGACCTTTAAAAAATTACAAAGAACTGTTATGACTGTGTGAGTGATCAAACAAAGTGATAAGGTTATCAAGCGAGGGAACTTCAAAGGAAAGAATGATTTTTATGTATTGTTATGCAAAGTAACTTTTATAATCATTTCAATATTTTACCGAAACCTTTTACGAAATTCTCAGACACTCCGTGAAAAAAATAAGAATAATCCGTATCGAGCATTCTTATTCATGCAGACGATTTCTTAAACAGATTTATTAATCAATTTAAGGAAACTGAATGATTTTAATGTATATATTTTTCCAAAAAATGAAAAGATGCTAATCATTTTTTGATTCGCCAAAAACTCTCTGTGAAATAGATATTATTAGGAAATAAAAACAAATTTGTGTGGTGAGGATATCAAAAGATATATAAAGGATATTAATTTAGATCCTTTAATAAAGTGTAACCTATATTCCCCCGTCCTTAAATACGCTTGTACACGCATACGCCTAATTAATAG